ACAAGTATACATTTTTTTAATATTTTTAACAAAAAAAATATAAAAGTTATTGACAAGATTGTTAATGTAGCTATTAAAAATAAATAAATTGGGGTTCACTATATTCTTAGAATGTTCAAAAGATTGAGCAGTTCATTAATCTTTAAATATTAAAATTACGCTCCTTCATATACTATTGACGTATTTATGTTGCACTCATGCGTTCTATGCAGATTAAAATTTAATTTTAAAATATTGAAAATGTTAAAACAAATGTTAAAAGTTTTGAAGTGATAACTGATGAAAAGTAATTCACTATGTCATTAAAATATTAATTATAACAAAAGTAAAAATGTCCATAAAAATGTCGTGAAATCATGTAATGAAGGTATTACTCTACTTCTTCCTGAAAATTTTTTTATTTAGTATTACATTGGTGATCACGATTAAAACGGTTTAAATAAAGTTGAAACTCGATATTTTCCTTTTAAAACTTGTTGAGAGGTTTAAAATGAAGAAAGTGTCTCGATTTATAAAAGTTTTGATTGTTCTCGCGAATTTTCCTTTTTTTGTAGCATTACAATCTGACAGTGATTATGATGATGAGCCTATATCATGTTCAGGTACTTGTTCAGATGGATACTATTTTGACTCAGTTCGGTGCGATTGTATTGCTATGACAAACCCTTCTACGATGCCATCAATCCCTTCAACACCACATATTTGCATAGAAGTTCCTTGCCCTCGGGATTTTATTTGGAATCAAAATGAGTGTTCATGTATTTTGCGCCCACCATGTACTATCAGATGCGCGACTGGGTACCATCTTGAATACGATGAGGACGGAAGATGTTTTTGTGTTCTGAATGAAAAATGTCCAGATGGACAAATATATGATCGCAATGAAAAGAAGTGTGTATGTGAACACCCTCAAGAATGTAGACCTGGATATTGTTGGGATGATGAACTCTGTCGGTGCATTCCTGATATTGTAATAGATTGTCCAGAAGGACAAATTTACGACCCAATTCAAAAGAAGTGTGTATGTGAACATCCCCAAGAATGCAAACCTGGATATTGTTGGGATGATGAACTCTGTCGGTGCATTCCTGATATTGTAATAGATTGTCCAGAAGGACAAATTTACGACCCAATTCAAAAGAAGTGTGTATGTGAACATCCCCAAGAATGCAAACCTGGATATTGCTGGGATGATGAGCTATGTCGTTGCATTCCTGATATTGTTAAAGATTGCCCAGAAGGACAAAATTACGACCCAATTCAAAAGAAGTGTATATGTGAACATCCCCAAGAATGCAAACCTGGATATTGTTGGGATGATGAACTCTGTCGGTGCATTCCTGATATTGTAATAGATTGTCCAGAAGGACAAATTTACGACCCAATTCAAAAGAAGTGTGTATGTGAACATCCCCAAGAATGCAAACCTGGATATTGTTGGGATGATGAACTCTGTCGGTGCATTCCTGATATTGTAATAGATTGTCCAGAAGGACAAGTTTACGACCCAATTCAAAAAAAGTGTGTATGTGAACATCCCCAAGAATGCAAACCTGGATATTGCTGGGATGATGAACTCTGTCGTTGCATTCCTGATATTGTAAAAGATTGCCCAGAAGGACAAATTTACGACCCAATTCAAAAGAAATGTATATGTGAACATCTCCAAGAATGCAAACCTGGAT